TATGTATTTTTTAGACTCAACTTTAATGACGTTTTACGCTTTAGGACAAATTCTGAACCTGAGTTGAATGATGTGAATAAATAAGCTTTAGTGAAAACAATTATTTTTACGCCTTTATAAATTCTGATACATCAAATATAGAAAGGTGTTTTACTCTATGCACAGTGTCAGTATGCAGTGTCTAGGAGTGACATTTTCAGCTGAGCTGTCATTTCACTATACGCTGTGTAGTGACAATAAAGGAATCTTAAATAAAGGAATCTTGAATTTGCACCACATATAAACATAATGGTCTCAATGCCATTAGCCTATGTAATGTCTGATCTTCTATCATTACTGTATATAAAAGCAACATCTGTAAATCTCCTGCTTTGTTATTTGTAAAATGGCCTTTGTGTGTGGGTGTTCTGTTAGACTAAGGACTACGTAAAAACTAAAACATAACTCTGAATTATTTGTGAAATGGCTAATGAATCATAATAATCGAGCTTTAAAGACTAACACTAATAAGTACTTTGTTCATTTAGAAATTACTTACTATGAAATGTAGAAAACTTTCAGGATTTATTATGTTGTAGACATTTATCAAGTCACATGCAAAACTTTACTTTCACAACTTTAAATCAGATCAGACCAATTGTTTCCTTTTTTTCTAATGGTTCGAGTAAATCAGTGTGAGCACCACTAGTGATTAGGTTTTACATTTTTTATGTCATTGAAAATGCATTGCAGCCCTAGTTCATTGATGTTTGTTTTATGATTAATTTGCGTTTAATGTTGATTTAACCAGCAGTACTTCAATTAAGTGTTTAAGTTTATTACATAGGTAAATAATAAAGTATCAATGTTAGTGCAAAGTCTGCACTGCATTTAGGCAACAGCTGCTGGGTTTGTACCAATCAGATGACTGTGCTGCCTTTGTGTCTGGGTGTTCTGTTAGACTAAGGGACTGTGTAAAAATTAGAATGTGATAATTGAGCTTTAATTACTAACACTAGAAAGTACTTGTTCATTTAGAAACTAATTATTATGAAATGTAAAAAAAAACAAAAACCTTTCAGGATGTATAATGTAGACATCATTTATTTTCTTTCTAGCGTAGAACTTACTATAGTGTATTGAGATATACATTTTTATTTGATGCTTCTGTATGTAGATGGGGTCCATACATTTGTTATGTCATACAGGCCTTTCTCTTTAGAGATAAGAAATAAGGGAAGAATGTTTGTACAGCTGCGCAATTCATATTATACAATGAATTATTAAAGGAGCATGGTATTGAAACGAATCATGGAGCTCTTGTTACACAGCAGGCTTTTCAGCATGATTTGTTAAAATAATCTTCTCTAAGTCAAAGGAATTTGATTTTTTTAATATGCTTTATTTTTTTTTATGGTAGTAGAAGGTAGAGTAGAAGGGTACACTTTGTTTAGCAAATGATTTCTCAAATGGTTGCAGGAGCTGGGTGTCATTTTGCTCTCAATATATGAGGCCATTGTGTGTCGGTACAACTGTGTATCATAATTTGAAATTGTAGTATGTCTGTGTTAATTGATACAGCAACGTGTATCTTAAAACTAAAATTCATTATGAAATCCTAGAGTAAAATCATAAGGTTTTAAATGTAGAGGTTTTACAAAGTTTGTTTTGTAAATAAATATATGATAAACCAAATGTATTCTACTAAAAATACTTCCAAAAATGATGAATTATTGAAGTGAATGCAGTTAGTTCTGTTATTTGCAGTAAAATACTTTAACACAGCTATAGAGGTAATTTCCGTCCCCTCTTCTGTCTGTCATTTGCCTTACCATTCTGCTGATAAAAGTTGTCACAGATACTTCCTGTTTCATTGTGGTTCTGTTGGCACCTTACTCACCTCTTTGGCTGTCTCTATATATCCCTAAACACTATAGCGTTTACGTCATCCCAGGTGATATCTCCCTCATTTGTTTTGTAGCTAATTACCTAGTGGGTTCTCTAGGCAAATGGTTACACTGCCTGTACAAGCCGCATCTGTAAATCTCTTGAATCTCCAAGCTATACTTAAATCCATGTCATGGCAGTGTTTCTATGATCCCTTTCCCATAATGCAAGGCAAAGGTTTGATTTGTCTGATAGTGTGGTGGGATTTGTTGCTCATGGCCAAAAACTGGGATGGGGCTATTTGACTGACTGGCCAAATGGCCAATCACAGACTGCTACTAAAACATTTCTACAATAAAAACTATGAAACAAAGTGGTATACAAGGGCTCAACAGCCACTGGGAAATGATTTGTCTGCTTCAAAAAAGCTCTTAGACTTTTGAGTGAGTGTACATACACTATATGGACAAAAGTATTGGAACACCTACACATTACACCTACAGCTCTAATGACATCCCATTCTAAATCCACAGGCATTAATATGGAGTTAGTCCCCCCCTTTCAGCTATAACAGCTTCTACTCTTTTGGGAAGGGTTTCTACAAGATTTTGGAGTGTGTCTGTGGGATTTGCACATTCATCCAGAAGAGCTTTTATAAAGTCAGACACTGATGTTGGATGAGAGGGCCTGGCTGGCAATCTTTGTTCTATTTCCTCCCAAAGGTGTTCGATGGGGTTGAGGTAAAAGGCTCTGTGTGGGCCAGTCTAGTTCTTTCACACTCAACTCATTTAACCATGCCTTTATGCACCTTGCTCTGTGCACTGGGGCACAGTCATGCTGGAACAGAAAAAAGCTTTCCTCAAACTCTTCCCACATGGTTGGAAGCATACCAATGTTGAAATGTTTTGGTAAGCTAAAGCATTCAGATTTCCCTTTCACTGGAACTAAGGGCCCTAGGCCATTATCCCTCCTCCATCAAACTTGAAGCTCCCAGCACACAGTTTTTGTGCTGATGTTAATGCCAGAGGAGGTTTGGAATCCTGCAGTTATAGAGTCAGCAGAGTGTTGATGACTTTTATGCACTATGTGCCTCAGCACTCGGTGACCCCTCTCTGTAACTTTACATGGTCTACCACTTCATGGGTGAATTGCTGTGGTTCTTAAACGCTTTAGCTTTTCAATAATACCACTCACAGTTGAACGTGGAATATCTAGGAGGGATGAAATTCCATGAACTGACTTGTTGCAATAGTGGCATCCTATTACAGTACCGAATGCTCGAAGTCAGTGAGCTCTTTCCATTCTTTCACAAATGTTTGTAAAGTCAGAATGCATGGCTAGGTGCTTGATTTTATACACCTGTGAGAATGGGACTGAATAAAACACCTGAATTCAATGATTAAGAGGTGTGTCCCAATACTTTTGTCCATATAGTGCAGCTCTGAAAGGTTGATTGTTCAGTGAGTGGAGCAGGCCATTTCCCTGCGTTAGACAATTTTTACTAGTTTTAAAATAAAATCAAGTAAGGGAGCCTCAAGATGTTAATAAAAAGGTAGTAGCTTATTACTAGTGGCAGATGCTGCATTCATTTTTAGGTTTTAATGGTTTACCCACAGAGACTGGACCTGCTGATATTTATTGCTTCCGTGGGCATGGTTAGTATGTGTCCTGCAAGTAAAAGAGAGATCCTCCTGCATTTGCCAAAGGTGTAACATCTATATAAACATTTGTCAAACTTTAGCCTACATGGGAATGTACCACTGTTCTATTTAACATAGGAAAATAGCATAAATTATTTACAGCAACAGTGTTCTATTGTGTTCTGCTGCCACATCAACCACCAGGAATGGTCTAAAGAATGTTTATTACATTTTAGTTTCTTTAAAAATGTCTGTGAAAAGATAAAATTCACCAAAACATTTAGGAAATGGCTCAAAAACAATTACACAAAAAAAAGCTGCTTAATCTAATACCTGTAGTAGTGTTGTAGTCAAGACCGCTAGGTCTAGGTCTGAGTCAAGGCCGAGACCAGATTAAGATTTTTTTCAGAAAAAAAAAATGAAATTCGTTTGTAGTTAATTGTACATTGTATGTCATTACTTATACAATATATTTTCATTTGCTACATTATATTTTATCATATTTTGTGAAATATAACATTAAATATGTAGCCTGAAACATTACTACACTGTGCATTACGTATCACAGTAATGATAACTGTTGCAAAGATTTCCACTTTAGGTGGTGCCTGAGTACCTCAGTGGCCTGAGGCAACAGAATGTAACTACTGCACCGTTTAACTTTAACTGACTTCCACTTTGTGTGATTCAGGCTTTCAAAATATCCTACCTACAGTTTTATGTAAAGCTCTACCTACAAATTACACGCTATGGTAGCACATTTTGGCAAGGCAGCACAATTTGTCACTTGTTAGTCTCACACAGCTGAGTGCTGAGCTAAACTGTATGAACTAAACGTTTGTTACTAACAGTTCTAAATATAAAAAAATTAAACAAATGTCATGAGCCCAACAGGTGATAGAATATAGAAAGTTGTCTTTGTTATTACTCGTTTAAACACTTCTGCATGTGCGTATCAGTGATGCAGCACAAAAAGCGGTGCAGAGCAGAGAGTTTAGTACACAGAGAAAGTTTTTTTTTTTTATGCTCAATAATAATTCAGCCTTTAGTTACCCCATACAGAGGCATCAGACTCTGCTAGTCTCAACAAAAATTTCAGAGTCCTCTTTATAACCAGGCTGAGTCCCAATGAGGTAGAGACCGGGCCGAGGCCACACCGCTCGTTTATGGTCTCGAGACCAGTCTTTAGACCGAGACTGGATTCAAGTACTACAACATTAACCTGTAGTATTAGTATGTTTATCTATAAAGTTGTAGTGGATTCATATTACTTCTTGTTTAGGTGTTTATCTTTCAGACTAATCCAAAATAAATATTCTTAAACACCAACTTTTCTTTAGATGTAGGTCCTTGCCTGTCCTCTTCTCTTCTGGAAACTTCTATGAGCTGTAGTTTTGTTTCATCACTGTTTAGTGCAGCAGGAATTACTCTTGCCTCATCCAAATATTTTGTCCCTCTTTTCATTCTTTTGTCTACCTCTTCCCTCCTTTCCAGATAAGAAAGAGGATGGCAGTGTGCCTCCAGCAGTTGTTATCCCAGCACCCTCAAAGCGAGGCAGAAAGAAGAAGTCTGTGATGCCCAGAACGGGTCCTGTGACGACACACACACTCCCCACAGGAAGCGATGCATTAATTCTTGCTCACCTGGCTGCTGGAGGGCAGGCAAGAGTGATTAATGCTCACATTTATTTAGCAGTAGAAACATTTCTATAGAACTGTTTCAAGCAATATAAGCCAGGGTTTCTGTCCCTCAGAATAGAATCTGTTGTTTAACCCTTAGAAGTCACAGTTGTGGTCAGCCATAATGAAAACATGCTATAAGTCAGTATTCATATTTTCTTATTCATAGCTCATTGACAGCTGCGGATTCTAAACAAACAGATAAGTTTTGTCTTAACTGCAGATTCTAAACTTTTCATCGATACCCCATTTGGTGAAAAGTAATTGATATGGGCCAACACTTAGGTGGTGCGCCCCTCAAAGCCCCTGTGTACAGTCTTATATTATGGAAATAAAAAAAAACAGGTTTTTGTACAAACACGTTGAACACTATACTTAACTGAAAATAGTACAAAGACAAAAGGTTAAATGTTAAAACTGAGAAATGTTATTGTTTTTCTTGTAATGTATGTCCATTTTGAAGTTGATGCCTGCGATGTGTTTAAAGAAAGTTGGGACAGGGCAGAAGAAGGCTGGTACAGTTGTGTAATCCTTAAAAAAAACACCTGGTGTAACATATCAGTAGTAATTAGGTTTAATTGGCAACAGGTCAATAGCATGATTGGGAACAAAAAGAGGATCGCAGAGAGGTTGAGTCTTTCAGAAGTAAAGATGTGAAGGGGCTCACATCGTTATCAGTGCACAGTTCAAAAGCCAGCATCCATGATGGTATGGGGGTGCATTAGTGCACATGATATGGATGACTTGCACATTGATCCATACAGGTTTTAGAGCAACATATGCTCCCATCCAGATGACATCTTTTTCAGGGAAGGCCTTGCTTATTTCAGCAAGACAATGCCAAACCTCATTCTACACATATTACAACACATATTACAACAGCATGGCTCCATAATAAAAGTCTGGGTGCTAAATTGGTCCAGAACTGTCACCCACTGAAAACATTTGGCGCATTATGAAACGAAAATATGAAAAAGGAGCCCCCAAGCTGTTGAGCAGCTGAAATCTTATATCAAACAAGAATAGGAAAACATTTCACTTTTAAAACTATGGCAATTGATCTCCTCCATTCCCAGATGCTTACAGTGCTGTTAAAAGAAGAGGGGAAGCATCAAAGTGGTAAACATGCCCTTGTCCCTGCTTTCTTGAAATGTGTTGCTGGTATCAAACTCAAAATGGGACATTTTTTCAAAAAACAATAAAATGTTGTTTTTGTGCTATTTTCAATTAAATACAGAGTTTAAATAATTTGCACATCATTGCATTTTGTTTTTATTTACATTTTGCACAGTGTCCCCACTTTTTTGGAAAAGGGGTTGTTATTTCTTGATAATGAAAGAAAAGAAAAGGCTGAAAAAGGTTGAGTCTATGGAATGTAAATCAAATGTAAGCGTAATTGATTGCATAACACCCCATGGAATTAAATATTCATGTACAGAGTTAGACTTCGAACTTCCTTATAGCAAAATGAAAGTAATAACTCAACTTATAAGAATTAACCTGAGAAATTAACTTATTTAGCAAATGTGCTGTGTTAATATACTACACTTTTAAAAATAAAGGATTTATTGGAGTGATGCTATAAAAAGGGACACTTTTGGTTCCCTTAAAGAAAATTACAATGGATAGTAATTTCAAAAATACATTTTTGTAAATAAGATATGTGAGTGTGAAGAACCTTCTACAGGTTGTGTAAAGGTTCTATACCAATTAAAGATTTTATTCTACGACCCTATATCCAAGCCATAAACCATGTTGGAGACTATTTTTTAAGAGTGTACACTGTGGAGAGCCATTAGGTAAGTGAATTAACTGAAATTTTAAGTGTTGATCAGCATTTTCCAGAAGCATGCTTAGTTGAAGACATGTATAGTTAATAGAAAGTCATAATTAACTGATTGCTAGTGGGTAACCATTTTAATTCTAGAAAAACATGATAGCTAAAATTTTACACACAAAAAGTTACTTATGTTTGTATGTTTGATTGCTGTCTTGTTTTAGCACCACACTGCAGATCCATATGACCTGTCTAATGATGAGGATGATCATACAGGCAAGGATGGGAGCAAATCATACAGGTACAGAACTGACATGCTACCATATTCTTTAACATATTTGCTTGTGAGCATAATGTATACAAACTAATGTGTGTATATACTTTGGAGAGGTAGACAAAATAATGGAAGCACAACTGATTAACGTTGAAGTAACACAATGACAAAGGCAGCTACACAGTAAAATGAGTCTTGTGCGGTTGAATGCCAGTGCTGACAGTCAGTGTTTTGATATATGAATTTTGCAGGTGTAATGAAAAAAAAAAAATAATAATTTAATGTATTGTAGAGGGAGCTCTTCACAGCATATGCCAAATATGGAAAAACTGTATCAGTGAAGAGGAAGAGGGGTCAACTCAAAGGTCACCGGACAGGGATAGCTGGCCAGCGAACTGCTAAATTGTGGCCTCAAATATTCCCTCAGAACTAAATCAGCACCACTATGACTCATGAAGTCAGGTTATTGCTTTGTATGGTTGTATAACAGCCAAGGAGTATGAAGCCCTGTCTTTGTGTTTGTAACTGATGTGTTGTGTGATGTGTATTAACCAGTGGTGGACAGTAGCTAAGTAAATGCAATTCGTTACTGTACTTAAGTAGTTTTTTGTGTATCTTTACTTTACTGAAGTATTTCCATTTTGGGAGACTTTTTACTTCTACTCCACTACATTTCAAAGTCAAATATCTTACTTTTTACTCCACTACATTGTGCGAAATCTGTCGCTCCTTTTGGGTCATGTGTGTATAAAAACGTAATGTAAAAACGAAAGAAGTGTGAAGCAAGCACACCAGTCAGGGTACAGCTTGCACTTTGTTTTGAGCTTGTTTTGACCTGTTGGACATACCTACCCAGTGCAAGTATACGGTTCAACGTCAGTGCAGCAGCGTAAAATTTTGGGAGCGCCTATGCCAACATAAATGATGGAACTAACCTAACTTTGTGTAAATAGACCACAATATAAAAAACATGTACACATATGCAGTTGTGACTGGCATGTGTCTTTTTTCTGAATTGATACAAACGCTATTTCATTTTATAGTAGATTTGTTTTTGCTAGTTTATGTTTCTGAACAGAGACCTGCAGATGGAATATAGTAAAGGAAAACACATTTGTGAACCTGTGTTTAAAGCAAGTTTTTATTAAATTTAAACTTGTAACTAAGTTGCAAATAAACCTTAAACTGAAACTTTGCTTGTTTGCAAAAAGTTATTTCATAGCCACTTGGTTCTATCTAATGGAAATTGTTTGCCTTCAGTGTTTTGTGCTTATGATAATTTTAATAGACATCAGTGACAGACTAATTCATGACATTCTATTAAAAGATTGGTTTACCAAGAGTGACACTAGAGCATTTTCACCTAAAATGAGTTAATGAAGCAAGAGTCTTGTTACAAAATAGGACAGTGGAGTCATAATTAACCTTTTGTACTTTTACTTTCGATACTTCATTTCATTACAAAGGCAAATACTTTTGTGCTTTTACTCAAGGGGAGGTCTAAAGGGAGGACTTTACTTTTATGGGAGTAATATTTTACCTTGGGTATCTCTGCTTTAACTCAAGTACATGATTTGTGTACTTCGTCCACCACTGGTATTAACACACATTCATGACTCACGAATCTGCAAACGGACAATTTGAGAGACAATTTTTTTAGCTATTTTAGTTCAGTCAGGGCCACTTTGTTACAGAAAATATTTTGCTTCCATGTGCAGTTAGTTATATTTGGTGGTATGGCTCTATTCTGAGACCTCCCTGCCCTTCCATGTGTATACATGGAAAAAGCAGCAGAAAGACCCCCAAAACGACTGTACCAGGCAAACCTCTGGCCAGCAGGAGGTTGTGAAGATGCTTTCAGAGGAAGTGGCGAGAACAGGGAGCAGGCAAAAGCGGCATAAATAAGCTCCCTGACTAATTTATTCAATGTGTGTGTAATGGTTGAAACAGGTTTCTTCTGAGAGGCATAAAGGGCAGCTAATAATTTCAAATAGGTTTTAATTTATTAAACCTCAAATTTAAGCTTACAGAATCACATAACTAGCTGAGCAACGACACTGATGCAAACCACTTTATGAACAACTTTTACTTCAGATTAAAGGATTCGTTAAAACAGTAAAACAGTGACGTTAGCCCAAACACTGCACACTCCAACTGGATAAAAATGAGCATAAGCAAGATGCTACCACAGTGCCCCTCTGGACGGAAAAATGTAAACGTAAATTTGCACACGTGCTGACCCGCCAAACTACAGACACAACCTTACATGTTTCAAGAGAAACAAACAGTTTATAAAATATACCAATTTCACAAGCAAACAAAATAAAGCCCTTACTTCCTTTCTTTAGCATCATTGAGGCATAGCTGTCCTGCTAAGCCGGCTACACAGGCTGTGCTCGACATAAACTACTATGCACAGCCAAATTTCTACTACTTCATGAAGGAGCAGGCTACCGTACATACTGAGGTAGCGTACCTACTGTGAATTCCCTACAAGCAGGGCTTAATACATATGTAATATCCATCTGCAGTAGTTACATTTGGCGATATGGCTCTGTTCTGGGAGCTACATGTGCACTCAAGGCAGGGAGAGCAGCAGAAAGACTCCCAAAACAACCATACCTGTAATCTCCTGCAAACCACCGGCCAGCAGGAGATTACAGTGGCTGGCAGAGGAAGTGCGAGAATGGGCAGGCAAAAGCAGCTTAAATAAATGCCCTGATGAATTTAGCCGATTTTATGCATTGCAGGGGATCAGCTGAGCTGTCAGCTAATTGAGATCAGCTGATAACAACTGGTGATGTGTTGCACAATGGTCCTGGAAGAATGTTGTTTCATTTCACTGTGTACTTGTATATAGCTGAAATGGCAATAAACTCTCTTGAACTTGAACTATAAATTGATTTGAGATTGGGGCCTGAGCTTGACTTCGAGGCCTGCCTCGAATGATCACTATACTCAATTTGCCATGTCCTTGGTTCTGATAGAGAATTGGGCAGATTGGCAAATCTGTCTTCAATTTGTTCTGGACAAGTCAGCATTCACAGTTTTATCATGACAGATCTATCTTTCTACAGGTATGTAGGTTCAGTTGACAAAGAATAATTTACATAAAGTTGAGTTTAGGAAACAACACACTGATTGTGGCTTCAATCGTGTTCACGTAGTTCTTAATTACATTATTTTTCAACTTGGCTTGTCACTCCAGATGCCGGATGTGCGCCGTGACTTTCTTCAGCAAGTCGGATATGCAGATCCATGCCAAGTCACACACTGAGGCCAAGCCACACAAGTGCCCCCACTGTTCCAAATCATTTGCCAACTCCAGCTACCTGGCCCAGCATATTCGCATCCACAGCGGGGCCAAGCCGTACACCTGCTCCTACTGCCAGAAATCCTTCAGACAGCTCAGTCACTTACAACAGCACACACGGTACTGACCTTTCTTTTAAGTGTTGGGTGGATAGAATTTATTACATTCCTGCAACAGTGGAAGAATCACTGTATAATTTGTAGCGCATTTGTAGACTGGAGTTAGTACTGAATAGTCTTGGTGGATCTAACCTTGTGTCTCATTTATCTAGATTTGTAAATAGTGGCTTAAGTAGATTGTAGTCACTGTGATTTTTGTAAAGCTTTCTCTTTAGATGGTTTTTAAACCATGAATATAAATTTTTGTTCTCTATGAAACAACAAATGTCACTGAAACAAAAATATGATTTGATACCAAACAGTGAGTTTAAAAGTAGGAAGGCTTTTAATCATTTCCTAAATTATCCAGTTGATAAATTAAAAGTAGCTTTACTCATCCATTTATCATTTTATTTCTGCTTTTTTCTGTTTTCCATTTTGTCTAGCTGCAATAATAACACAATGAATTACAAAAACGGAACAAAGCCTACATACACATTCAAATGCTATGATAATGCTTCTTTTTATGCCTGTGGGATTTACAGTGTTACATTGCATACAGCAGTGGCATTCAATATTTGTTTAACGATTCTTTCATTTTTATGATGCATTATTTGGACTTCCTCCTCATCTGCATTGATTGTAAAAGGAAAAAAAAAATTCAATGATCCATTTCCATCGGTAAAATATATTTTAAAGGCAGAGTAGTTGATTAATTTTAGAAACATTTTTGCTGTATTTCTTGAAGTACTCTTTACATCCTGATAGCAATCAATAAATCAAATACTCTGACAATAAATGAAAAGAAAGCATTATCTGTGAAGGCCACAGGACTGTAAAAACTCCGTCCAGTCATTTCCTTTGGACCATTGGATGGCCTATCTGCCTGTCTACCTACTTACCTCACGACCTGCCCACATGCACACACACTGCACACGTGCTCATTTTGCGCATGTCCGTAGTCCGTCATACGTCTCTACCTACAACAGCTTGCACTGGCAAAGAAAGAAAGACAGAAGCAATAAAAGGTTTCAAACAAAAAGAGGTAGGATATAGCAAGTGGTCAAACCAGAGTGAACATTGTGTGACTTTTCAATGGTTGTGAAACCAGGCAGAGTTGAAAGGCCTGGAGAGCAATGCCAAGGTTACTATTTCTGTTGGACAGGTAATTATCTTGTTTGTTGTGTTTATGGAGGAATTTACAACCCCATTTCCAAAAATCCATTTTGATTTCGATGCCATCAACACATTCTAAAAAAGTTGGGACAGGGGCAACAAAATGCTGTTAAAGTTATGTAATTGTTGATTGACAACAGGTCAGTAACGTGACTGAGTATAAAAAAGCATCCCAGAGAGGCGGAGTCTTTCAGAAGTAAAGATGAGCAGCGTTCACCACTCTGTGCAAGACTGCACGAGCATAAGAAAACAAGCACAAAGAATAATGTTTCTCAACATAAAACAGCAAAGAACTTTTGCTTTTCATCATCTACGGTACATAACATCATTAAAAGATTCAGAGGATCAGGAGAAATCTCTGTATGCAAGGGACAAGGCCAAAAACCAGTATTTTCTGACCATGATCTTTGGGCCCTCAGGTGACACTGCATTGAAAACAGACATGATTCTGTAGAGGAAATCACTGCAAGGGCTCAGAAACACTTCTGAAAAACACTCTCTATGAAAACAGTTCATCGCTGCATCCACAAATGCAAGTTAAAACTTTAAAACACAAAGACGAAACCATATATAAACAGGATTCAGAAAAGCTCCCACCTTCTCTGGGCCTGAGCTCATTTAAAATGGACAGAGGGGAAATGGAAAAGTGTCCTGTGGTCCGACAAATCAACAAATTCTTTGTGGAAATCATGGACGCTGTGTCCTCCGGACTGAAGACCACTCAGCTTGTTATCAGTGCACAGTTCAAAAGCCAGTATTCATGATGGTATAGGGGTGCATTAGTGCACATGGTATGGGTGACCTGCACATCTGTGAAGGCACCCTTAATGCTGAACGATATATACATGTTTTGGCAACATATGCTGTCATCCAGACGACATCTTTTTCCATGGAAGGCCTTGCTTATTTCAGCAAGACAATGTCAAACCACATTCTGCATGTATTACAACAGCTGTGCTCCGTATTAAAAGAGTCTGGGTGCTAAACTGACCTGCCTGCAGTCCAGACCTGTCACCAATGATAACATTTGCATTATGAAATGAAAAATATGACAAAGGAGACCCTGAACTGTTGAACAGCTGAAATCCTATATCAATGAAGAACAGGACAACATTTTACTTTCAAAGCTACAGCAACTGGTCTCCTAAGTTCCTAAATGCTTACAGAGTGTTGTTAAAAGAAGAGGTGATGAAACACAATGGTAAACATGCTCCTGTCCCAACTTTTTTGGAGCGTGTTGTTGGCATCAAATTCAAAATAAGCATTTATTTTTCAAAAAACAATAGAATTTCTCAGCTTCAACATGTTGTCTTTGTAGTATTTTCCTTTAAAAATATGGTTTACGGGATTTGCATATTATTGCATTCTATTTTTATTTATATTCTGCAAAGCATTCCAACTTTTTTGTAAATGAGGTTGTATTTTCCTGAATTTGTTTTGTTTATGGCGGATTTTTTTTTTCTGAATTATGTAGCCAGTGTAGCTAGCTACTTATTTAGCAACGTTATGCATTAGTCCAATGCAATGTTAGTACAAATGTTAGCCTCAGATGCCAGAATGTAAGTGCTGCACCATTTAAGGTGGAGTGGCAGAATTAAAACAAGAAGCTGGCAAATAGGAAGCCAACTCATAGTGTTAACTAAGCTGTAGGTGTAAGCTAGCTAGCTAATTATGTTTATCTTGTATGTAATCTGTGTGTGTTGGATGATGTCTGCATTGTAATTTTGAGCAAGGGGCAAAATACAGGGGGTCCTGGTGGATCCGGGATTAAGACTAGGACCCCCTAATTAATTTTCTGGGGGGTCCCTGAATATAAACTTAAGACACTATGCTGTCCATTAGGGTGAAATAGATGCTCAGATATAAGTTCAGGTACAAGTCATTGTTTAGCTGCTTCCCCCACGAAACAGCGAGCTTCTATCTTTGATATTAGTAACTAACTATGGATGTGTCACTGGCCTACCTCAAGGTGGCGCTGTAGCAAACTTGTTCACCCAGTTGGTCTTTTAAAGCCTTGCAACTGCAACTATGTCCAGGATACCTCTGAAAAATTTTACAAGCATATTTGTAAATCTTTTTTACAATCTTTTTTTGTAAATTTGCGAACTTTTGTAGGTACTAAGAGTTTTGTGGAAAGAGTAAATTGTTACTCATTTTTCAAACCCGAGAACAAAAGAGATGTCAATTAGTGTGTAGAAGACCACATTTGGAGTGCATTTCCAAAAGAACAACTGTTAAACCACACATTTTGTTGCCATTGCAGCTACCATCAGCGCCACTATGGCGAGAGAGTTACCCAGCCAACATGGCCTTTTTTTAGGTAGCAAATGTCATTTAACGGTATTTATCCTGTGGTGAGTAGTCAGGCGTGTGCGTTTGTGTGTTTTGTGGGAGTGGCTTTGGAAGGAGGGCTGAAAGTAGGGGATGGGATTTTTGGTTGGATTTTTTTCAAAATTTAGCTTTCTACAAAATCACCTACTCCAGGTTTAACTGCTACAAATTGAATAATGGAATGATTTATTAACAAAACAACTTGTGTGATATTTAAACAAATACACGAAATATTGTTCTCCAAGTTCGGCCATACAGCGTGTGAGTGGCTCAAGCATTCATAAGCTAATACTAATCATAATTAACGGCTATCTGTTTGATTAATTTTATTAGTCTTTAACAAGTCAGTGCTCAATATTTGGATGGTCTGTTAGTAATGCTGAAACACATAAAAGGTAGTGCAGTTAGTGGATTAGCTAAAGGCTGTTCAACTGTGGCACTTAAGAGATGTTTTTGCTTTAACTGTGTACCTGCACCTTAAATCACCCACCAGCCTGCTTTCAAAATGATAATGTGATATAGTAGAGGAGGCAAGAAAATAATTTTAAAAAAGAACACACTGGTTATATAGAAAAATAAAACTTGAATTTGCAGAAGAATCATCCTCAAAAATATAGGCCCTTTTTTGTTGTTGACCATCTCATGAGCCCCAGGTTGAGAACCACTGACTTTGACAAATCATCAGTAGTGTGTGGACATTGGAAATGTTAGATTTATTTGGTGCACACAGACACATGCACAAACTATTAAGTTGATTTTGTGCCAAATGTTTTAAATAAAATAATAAAATCAACTAGCAATATGCATCCATAAGTATCCAAAATATGCTGCAAATACAAATAATGAGTTAAATCAAGTTAAATTTTGTAAAAAGATTTCTACTCATTTTCACTCATCCTGATATAAACGTATTACTTATTTTGCTTTGCTACAATTCTGGAATTGTTCTTTTGCTTCTGAAATTTTTCTTTTGCTTCTGATTTTTGGCATTTTTTAGCAGTTGCGGGTCTTAGAAGAGGGCTTTCACCCACACTCTATTGTTCAACTGATTTGAGTGACACGTCTTCTGAACATGTGGCCATGCCTACTCTGGGATTTGCAGTCTGCCTCAAATATGACAAAACGATAATTATTGCGATATAACTTTCCTCGATAGAACTATAAGAAATATTTGATAAATGTTCGATATACTACACCATTCTCACACTTCTACGTTTTAGCGATCGGTGATCTGTTCTCATGTGACCAAGTGTGAGTGACTAGATAAGTGGCATAACTGTACTGGCTTGGAGTGAACTCACCTTTTTCCTAACACCCTAACAAGCTTTAGCAGCGTTAAATCACGTCTGCTCCTCACAACTACAGCGCTGTGTTACAGCGCTCAAAAAGTCATATTTAAGTATTAGTGCATTCCCAAGCAACGAAAGTGAAAGAAAGAAGTGGGTTCATGCAAGTTACAGCCCTGATTTAAACAAAAGTAAACTGAGGAAGCTGTGTGGCATTGGAGAGTGGGAG